CATAAGGGATATTAGTCTGTAGTTTATAAAAAATATTTATGGAGCAATGTATATGCCAGGCATTGTTCTAGGTATTGGGACTTCAGCAATTTTTTAGAACAGATCAAAAAACAGTCTTTTCTCTCATGGAGTTTCCATTCCTATGGATGACCAGCATGGTTGCTTTCCACTCACACTTGACATTGTTTTCTGTGTCCTCTCAATGATGTTGCATGTTCCATCCTCCATGCCAGACTTTTGGTACCTGGATGGTCAGGGTCAGGAGATTGGAAGGGGACTACTTCCTTTTTTAAATTGCTGTTCCTTGGGGCCCCTGGGTGGCTCAGATGGTTAAGCATCTGCCTTCGGCTCAGGTCATGATCCCAGGGTCCCGGGATCGAGCCCCGCTTTGGGCTCCTGGCTCAGTGGGGAGCCTCCTTCTCCCTTTCCCTCTGCCGCTCCCCCTGCTCATGCTCTGTCTCAAATGAATAAACTTTAATAAATAAATAAATAAATAAATAAATAAATTGCTGCTCCTTTCCCCCCCTTTTTAATGTAACTACTTCTAACCTCAGGTATTTGTGTTCTGAATGTGGGTTCTTTCATTTAATGCTATTGTGAGATTGGGTTTGTGTTGTCATGCTTTATTCATTCTCATTGTTATATAGTTTCTCCTTATATGCATATTCAGCAGTTTATTTACTGCACTGTAAATGGATATTTGGATTATTTGCTGCTTGGGGCTCTTGCTGAACAGCACTGCTGTGCGCATGCATAGATCTGTCCTTTTTGCAAACACCTTTGCTCTGCTCTGGGGTGTATCACCAGGAGTGGAGTTGCTCTGTCATAGGATGCGTTTAAATTCAGTTTGGGTAGATTCTGCCAGTTTTCCACAATGGAAGTACAAAGTAGATTCCCAGCAGCTACGAGTGACAACTTGCAGGTGCCGTATGCCACTATAGCCATGCTGCTGGGTGTGTCCAGGTATCCCACTGCAGTTTTAGTTTTAGGGCAGGAGATCCTGTTTGTTTTAAATACAACAATTAAACGGAGCCATCTGCCCACCTCGGGCCTTTTCTTACAGAGATTACAGCTTTCTTGGGCACCCCTTCCATGCTAGCAGTAGAATCAGGAGGCCATTCCTGTCCACACATCTTCCACAGCCCCTGACTGGCTTTCTGTTTCCCCAGTAAGAAGAAGAAAAATGACGTGGGGAAATCAATCAAGACTGCCCAGGACCAAGTGCTTACATATCAGTATAACATGAATTTTGAGAAGGTGGGCAAATGCATCATAATAAACAACAAGAACTTCGACCAAAAGACAGGTCAGTGCTGTGGGCCTGGGCTGACCTTTCCTGTCCCCTTCTGTCATCTTCAGCTTGTACCAGACTTTGATTAGAGAAGGGCCGTGCCCATCTGCTGGGGCAGACAGCCACCCACCCAGTGCTCTTTACGTGCCCAAGAAGAAGGCACGAGGGACATCGGGAGCTTCGAGTGTAAGGTCCCACCACGTGCATTCACTGATGTGGGACTTGGACCGAAGGGCTACGAATCGAGGGGAGGTCTTTGGTTTCGACTGAAGCAGAGAGTTGCCGTGACAAGGCTCACCTTCTGTGGGCAGACTGAATGACCTCCTTTGAGTTTGCTTCTGATCTCAGTTGCTCATTTCAACTGTGACCTTGGGAGCATTGAGACCGGAGCCCGAAAGGCTACACTTAGCGCCCGACCGGATGTGGCTAGCGGGCAGCACTCAGCCAGGAACTGCTCATCATGGCCTTCATTCCCACAGGTATGAACGTCCGAAACGGAACAGACAAAGATGCTGAGGCCCTTTTCAGGTGCTTCAGAAACCTGGGCTTTGATGTGGTCGTCCATAATGACTGTTCTTGTGCCAAGATGCAAGATCTGCTGAAGCAAGGTGCGTGCCTGTCTCCTCCCTGCGCCTCCTCCCTGCTCTGGGGAGGGCCAGCAAGCCAGCCATCTCGGGAGGGCACCTTGGCGGGACACAGCAATTTCAGCCCGGGCAGCCTTTCCTTCCTCTGGGCTACTCTGGCCCAGGCAGAGGCCTTTCAGGAAACTTCCACCTCTCCCTAAAAAGATGAAATCAGCAAGTAGGACAGCAAGTGATAGGTTTGGTATCTACGGAACAGTCTCCATTTCAGAAAGCTAATTCATAGGGAAGAAACAAGTCTGTATCTTTCTGTCTAGAAGGGAGTTGAAGTGTCAACCTTTCCCTGGTGGCAGATAGAGAAAAATAATCTCCCCATATTGCAGATGTTTATATTTTAAACAGACTTTGCAGATACGGGAACTAAGGCACAAAGTGGTGATGTAACTTGCCTGGTGCCGCAGGCCTAACAAACAGCAGGGCCTTGCCCATTCAGCGCCCCTGGACACTGCCTCCCAGCAGCCGCCTGAACCCCTCCCACACGGGGAGCACACTTCCTCACGGGGGGAGCACCTCCTCATGAGGCAACCCCATCTAGGTTTCAGACTGTGTGAGAATTCTAGAATCCCCCATCTCTAACTTCTCTGCACTGGTCTTCCTTCTCTCCAGAGAGGTGCTCCTCCCCGTGCACACCTGTCTGACAGTCAGTGGCCACTGCCAGGCCGGGAGGGAGGACCCTCTGGAGGTCCCACAGGACTTACGTCTTAACCTTTCCGTCCTCAAACCGCTTGCTTGCAGCCTCTGAAGAGGACCACAGAAATTCTGCTTGCTTCGCCTGCATCTTACTAAGCCACGGAGAAGAAAATTTCATTTATGGAACAGATGGCATGACAGCAATAAAGGACTTGACCTCCCATTTTAGGGGGGACAGATGCAGAAGCCTTCTAGAGAAACCCAAACTCTTCTTCATTCAGGTAATCCCTTTTCAAAGCCAGTGCCATTGAACAAGGACAAAGATGACAGAGTGATGACAGAGCGATGACAGAGTGACTTGGGTTCTATCACCTTTACAGATGTACATGTTGTTTCAGTTGGGGTTTGCAAATTTAGGTTTTGTTTTTCTACCCCTCCATGCTTGGCGTCTGTACTTGCATCAGATCAGCCGTTGTGAGGGTTTAAGACACTGTGATATTTTCATTTGCTTTGCTTGCTAATTTGACACAAGCTTTATTCATTATGTATTTATATTTCAAATTCTCATTGAGCCACTAATGCATGCCGAGTGCAGCCCTGGGCCCTGGGACGCAGCAGTGAAAACTCACACGTTCCTATTCCTGACTCCATGGAGTGATCTCTGCTTTGGTACTTAGGCTTGCCGGGGGACAGAGCTCGATGATGGGGTCCAGGCTGACTCGGGGCCAATCGATGACACAGATGCCAATCCTCGATATAAGATCCCCGTTGAAGCCGACTTTCTCTTCGCCTATTCTACAGTTCCAGGTATCAGACCCATTGCCTGTGAACCGGACCATGCCATTCCACCAGCAGAGTGCAGGCTTGAGGCTGTATGCATTTCCTGTTGCTGCAGTGATAATTCCCTGAAACATGGTGGCTTCCGACCTACAAGCTTATTATCTTATGGTTCTGGAGGCCAGAGTTCCAAATGGGTTGGCAGGGCAACCCAGAATTCCAGAAGGAATATTCTGGAGGCTCTGGGGGGGGATATCCACGTCCTTGCTTTTTCCAGCATGTTAGAATTCCCCGGCTTGTGGTCCCCTGCCTCCAGCTTCAAAGCCAGCAACCTCGAATCTCTGTGACTCTTCTCTCCTGCACATTCCTCTTGAGGCTTGGATTAGAAAGTAGCTCTTGCCCCCCGCAAAGGGCAGTGAGGAGTTCCAGAGTTCTTCTCAAGCATTTCCTTTGGAAAGCTCCATGTGCCCATTTGTCTCCTACACACTTAGGTATCTGATATGTATCCGTGCAGGAACACTGGGTTGGGCATCTTCAGGCAGCCTTCTAAACCTAAGATGTTTGCTCTCTGCTCACACAGCCTAAATCTCATGGGGACTTGCATGCAAAGAAGAGTAAGATAATTTCAGAGAAGCAGGTGTGAAGGCCCCATACACCGAGAGCTCCTTCTTGGTGGCCCATGGGGCAGCAGCCAACTCAGCTGATCTGATCTTCTCCTTTCTGTCTTGTTGAAGGCTATTACTCATGGAGGAGCCCAGGCAGCGGGTCCTGGTTTGTGCAGGCCTTGTGCTCCACCCTGAACGAGCATGGCAAGAGCCTGGAGATCTTGCATATCCTCACCAGGGTGAACAACAGGGTGGCCAGGCACTTCGAGTCCCAGTGTGATGACCCCCACTTCCACGAGAAGAAGCAGATCCCGTGTGTGGTCTCCATGCTTACCAAGGAGCTCTACTTCTGAAAAATTAACCATTTCAGGGATGCGTTTGAGCTGAAAAGCTACGGATCATTTGTTCATGAGTCTTTTTTTTTTTTTTTGATGCTCTTGAAATACCCAGAAATTCTAAAGGATTTTAATTCAGGAATATTTATTGATTCAACAGGAAAGAAACTTTCTGGTGCTGTCTTATGTTCTTATGTTTTTGGAGACTTTTTTTTTTATAATGTTACCTATTTGATGGCTTTGTAATTTCTTCTTAAGACTAATTTTCTGTTTGTATTTTTTCCTTGTTGTCCCACTCAGTACATACAACAGAAACAAGCTCCGCAGACTCTTGGCTGTGTCCATCATGATTGGTGGTGACATGGCAGACAGGGTCTACCTGGCCAAGAGGGTTCCAGTGCTTGGAAAAAAGTAGCCTGTATTCACCTGTATTGCAGAAAGTGGGGATTGAGTGTGATTTGAGTGATTTTTCATTGGCTTAGGGCAGATTCTCATGCAGAACTTCCCAGATAAGTTAAAGGGGGAAAAATGTTAATGATTCTAATATGTCTGTCTGATAAAGAGAAAACAGAAACCATTCTAGGTATTTCAATAGAGGGAATTTCATAGAGGAAATTGACCTACAAATATGATAAAAGAGAAGCCAAATAAAAGGAATCTGTGACCACCTAGGACTATGAAAAGGTATGGTCCCCTTAATCCAGAAGCTGGGGTAGCCCACAGGAGCGAGCAGTGTGGTGGGGGCTGCCTGGTGAGAGCCAGGACCACCGAGGGATTGTGGAAATTGGAGCCATGGCAGAGACAAAGCCCCTGCCTGAGGTGGGGGCAAGACCAGCTGGGTCAGATGTGGAGAGATACCTTCGCTTCATCTCTCCTGCCCTCGAGTCTTCCTCCCCAACCTTGCCCGGAAGCCAGCTGACAAGGGCCCTGCGAATCGTGATTTCCTGCAAATACAGAGCACAGCAAAGCCTAGTGGGGCAGCACAGGAACAAGAAATGGATATCAGAATGGCCCATAATGTGAATATAAGTAATCCTATTCCCTGATGTGCAACGACTCCTCCCTTCAATCATTTATTCATTGAGTTGTCAGATAATCTCTGTATTGCCCACTATGTGCAAAATAATCTTTTTTAGCTTTGAAATCTACCTGGAACTTTTTAGATTATTCCAATCCTTATTCTGAGTAAATTTTTTGTTACCTCTAATTCTCTATGGGGGAAAAGTTTATGGCAAAGATTTTTGCACTTTGTTTTCAAGGTTACCTTTTGAATTCTTGACCATTTTATTCTGGCTTAATAACTGGTTAACATACAGATGTTCATATTTATTGATTAAAATGTGGTTGCTTAATTCCTAATCTGCTCAGTTTGCTTTCCTTCTAAAGTTTTTTATAGCAGTGGAAAAATGGAAAAACAGGGTAAGAATTGACCCCACTGACTTTACCTCCACACAAAATATAATTCAGGTCTCTTTTGAAGCTGGAACACTAATAGAGCAGTAAGTCAATCACTTTGGAAGCTGAAATTCTTCACATAAAGGGTTAATTAACTTAAAGCTGTTTGCGATGAGCTACCATTTATTAATTTGGCAACAAAATCAGAGCGAGTAGAAGTTTTTTCTTTCAATAAGAAAACTACTTTAGGACCAGTTTATTAGACCTGCCCCTGGTTTCCTGCCATCTAAAATACACCAAATGTACAAAATTTAAGTGCAGATCGTGAATCAAGAATCAACAAGCATCCTCCCTACCATTCTCAGAATTCATCAGCTCTTCTTTGGAAAACAGACTACCCTACTAAAGGAAACTCTCGTAGAAATAAATGTGCCTAAGTGCATTGTAACTGGAAGTAAAAATTACAGCACTCTAATTATTTCCCTTGTAAGCTTCATTAAAAATCCCAAGTGGCAGGGTTTTGGGTTTCTTTAAAAATTCTCTGAGCAATCATAGGTACTAAGCTCACAAATAATGAATATTCCTTCATAGACCAGAGATAGAAAGGGCTATTAAGAAAGAGCCTTCACCCTTGAATACTTCACTGGGCAGACACTCTTGTTTATCAAGATCAGAGATCCTATTCCAAGTTGGGTATGTGGTCAGTCACACCTCCATTCTTAAACTTTCTGATCTTTCTATAAACCGAAATTCTGATGAGAACTCAATCCTGGTGAATACACATTCCTATTAGAACCCAACCTGCCCCTTGCAGGAGTAACAGCCAAAGCCCTGCCTTGGCTCCCGAGAAAGCCAGTGCAGGCGTATGCTATCCTTGCTGGAATCATGGGCTCAAGTCTGGGCTTCTCTTTGTTTTTTCTCAAGGTGCCATTAGCCTATTTTAAGTGTTAGCTGTTAATACATTCACAGTCAGCTTTAGGCTCTGCCCTGAGCCTTTTCTCTGAGCAAATTTCCATAAACCAGCTAAGCTTATTGTGTTTATGAATTGCCCAAAATAGGTCTCAAAGTGCTGGAGTTCAGTGTAGTCACATGGTTTAAAACCTCCAGGAAGGGAAGGCCCTGCTGGGAGAAAGAAGATGATGTCTTCTGGAAGGGCACAGGCCCTACGTGACAAATCCTTTATTTTGTCCACTCTTGCAGCCCATTGCCTGAAAATCTTGGCACCGGCTCCTCTGGGAACCAAAGATTGCCTTTGGACTCCCAAGGAGCAGACTCCTCCCTCCTTCTAGCTTTTCATCTTTCATGACCCTTTCCAGCAAATATCTGGCTCAGTGAGAAGCTGCGGTGGTCACCAGGTTAAAGCAGCAATTCATCTGCATCATTAGCCTGGAGAGAAGTAGCAGCCCAGGTGTCTCTAATTGCTGAAGGAATGGGATCCTTTAGAGTTCTTCAAAGATATGCAGATCAGAAGGTTTGTACATTGTTTGCCTTGCAGATATTTTGTATCTTGCAGCATTGAGTGTGTGAGCCTGTGTGCAGTGACGTCTGCATCCCCAGGGAGCTTGTCAGAAATGCAGGATCCCAGGTTCCGCCCCACACCTGCTCAACACAATCTGCACTGTAACCAGGTCCCCAGGGGATCCAGGTGCACGTTACAGTCTGAGAAGCTCAGTTTTGAGGGCAAGGACCCCTTGTTTACACATTTTTGCTTGCTCTTTGCACTTCTGAACGTGGAACCGATAATAGAGTAGAGGCCTAAAAAGGAATTAGTGAAAGAACAGGTATATTGTGAAGCTTCCACAGAAGATGCGTTTTTAGGCATCTCTTAACTTTAATATCTTCTTGTGAAATGACATGTTGCCCTTAATTTACATGGTAGACTTTTTATGCCCTTCCCCATTTTAAATGACCTTCTGAGCAACATAATAGGATTGCTTGTATGTTCTCCAAGTGTCTTCAAATGTGAATTGCAGCCTTTAAAATGTCTTCATAAATAGAATGGGATTAAGGGAACCAATCCTTGCATGTTTTCGTTGGTGCAGGAGCTGTTGTGCATTGAAGCCTCAGAGCTTGTCTCTTCCCACTTGTCCTCAGAGCCCGGGTGGACACCAAGCGAATTTTACTTCTCCCTGCCACTGTGCCCTCAGGCCATAGATCACCCTTTGATAGACCTCAGAGCCTTGTTTTGGATCAGATGGCAAGTAGTTCTTTTTGATTTGTATGTTAGTAATTAACAAAAACACACCAAGAACATATTTGGAAGGCCCCAGCTACCACCACAGTAATGATGTGGACATGGAAACCCCATTAGCTTGCAGGTTCATGCATGAATAGCCATTAAAAATTAGTTGGTCAGTAGTCAAAAACACACAAGCCAAATAGGATGAGTTGGCTTTGCTATGAGTTTTGATTTATAAGGCACTATTAACATGTATGGCAAATTTCTAATAAGTTTGTTTTAAGCATTTAAACCCAAACCATATCAAAGATTTAAATTTAGGGACATGGTGTTATAGCTGCAGATCGATCTATAAGGCTGAGCACTTCTTGGGTTTTGATGGTCTGACCAAAGTAGATAGCATGAAGTTCAGGGAGGATTTGGGAAAGAGAGGGAAGTATAAATAGTCTGATAGGTTTGGTCTAAATTGCTGGTTCCAGCTTAAGTGGTTTAAGCATATCTCAACCAGCACAGCATCATACTTATTTCTTAGGATGCAAGGTTAGCAAAGGTGTTTTAACCACTAGTGTTTGGAAATTTGGCTCTGAGTCCCATCTGAGTTCTAATCCCAGCTCAGCCATTTGACCACCTAATATTTATGTGACCTTAGGCAATCTTTCTATTTCCTCATCTACACATGAGGGTAGTAACATCGTGGAGATTAAATGAGATGATGTATGTGAAGTGCTTATTAGCACAATGCCTGGCACAAAACACTCAATAAAAAGGTATCAAAGATGATGATGATGACAATGACGCGAAACCTGTAGAAAAGCAAGAAAGGAAGATGCTCCACTGGACCCTCCACTCACTCTTTTCTGCCTCAAGGACTGTTTCTTTGATCATGTCTTCCAGTCTGTGCCTCTCAAAGTGAGGTCTCCCAGAAGTGCCATGATGACACCAAAGATTGATTTATGCAGCACCCATTGAAAGAGTCCTACTAAATGCCAGGTGTTGGGTTAGGGGTGGGGCTAAAAAGATGACCAAGAAATGATGCTTTCCCCAGAGGAGGTTAACATCACTCCAGTAAAATAGTGGCTGTAAAGGAGTTGTGCATACATTACTCCAGAATGCAGATGAGGGCGTGTCCCTCTCTGCTTGGGGATTCAGAGAGGTGTTCCCAGAGGACGTACCTAATCTTCTTTCATTTTAGCCACCCCAGAAAGGCTGAGAGGAGGCAGTACAGAAGGGGAAATTAAGGTCAGTAGGTAGAAGATGACATTTTTATTTAAGAGATTCTCAAGCTCTGGGTATTTACCTGAGGATCCTGGGTGATCTGTGTATGAAGCAGATTCCTGCATCCAGTATTCCTGGGATGGAGACCAGGAATCTGCTCATTTAACAAACCTGCCTGGATATTCTGATGTAGGTGCTTTATACTGATATCAAAAGGTTGGCTTGCAGATCAACATGAGTGGCAGCAGAACCTAAATTAAACAGCTGGAAAAAGATCACCAAAGGTCCAGC